AAAATGCGCTATTGTGGCCACTTTGTCCGTTCGTCCGCTCGTTTTGCGACGCTACTAGTTCTTTATCTTAAGAGCTATTGTTCTACTTTTTTCGCTATTTGGTTCGTTATGGTGTCGAGTCTTGTACCAAGGAAGCAATTTTTTCTGTACCGCTTACAAAAAAAGTTATTGTAAAAAAAAACAAAAAACCGTTTTTTACATGTTCCATAATTTTACACTTTTGCCGTTTATTAACGATCCTAGAGATCGTTAATAATTTTGCATTGCTATCTGTCGCCTGCCGGTTGGTCTCTCCGTCTGTTCCTTTGTCTGTCTGTCCATCTATCTGTCCGTGTGAACGATAACTTTGTTTAGAAATGTTCGATCGCTTTTAAATCTCCGTTAGTTATGAACTGAATTGCATGAAATTCAATATGGGCATAGATTTAGCCATATAATACGCAATGCCAAAAGTTGGATCGAATCGATTCAAAATTCACAGTGCCCTTTTCGCATCTCGACCATTTATAAACCGAATTGCAAACTTTTTTACTTATAAAAGTATTTGAATGAAATTTGATACATAGGCACCTGGAATAAAGGAAAATCAAACGCCAATTTCAAAATTTGGTTTTGCGCATGCGCAGTGCCAACTTTTTTATTTATGGAAGAATTTAAACGAAATTTGATACATAGGCACTTGGGATAAAGGAAAATCAAACGCCAATTTCAAAATTTGGTTTTGCGCATGCGCAGTGCCAACTTTTTTATTTATGGAAGAATTTAAACGAAATTTGATACATAGGCACTTGGGATAAAGGAAAATCAAACGCCAATTTCAAAATTTGGTTTTGCGCATGCGCAGTGCCAACTTTTTTATTTATGGAAGAATTTAAACGAAATTTGATACATAGGCACTTGGAATAAAGGAAAATCTAGCGCCAACGCATGCGCCGTGCCAACTTTTTTATCTAAATTTAGGTTTGCATGCGCAGTTCCAACTTTCTTATTTAGAAAAGCATTGAAATGAAATTCTTCTCATAAACTGAAATTGAAGTAGCACGTCAACAATGGATTGCCCATGTGCAACGCTATCTTTCATATTTGTGGCCGGTTTTTTTACGATTTTAACAGAAGTTGCATCTTACAAATGGGAAATGAATGCAAGTGGAAATGCGCTTTATGTAAATCGTTTACGATTACTTTTTGACTTGTTAAACTTCTAATAGCATCTCGTACTTCAATCTCACTAACCTGGTTAAAGGTGAAATTTTGATTACCAGAAGTAGAGGTAAGAAAATTTGTATACAAAAAACTGTTTTTGTTTACAGATTTATTTACCGTATCTTGAATAACATTAATGAAAAAATCGTTGAATTGTTCAGCCGTAGTGTTACAAATCTGGTCGGATTTGTAACGACCGCGGAAATTATTTCGAAAGCTATTAACAATATTCCAGCACGCTTTACTTTTATTTTCATTTTTATTAATATAATGGTTATAGTAAGCTTGCTTCGCACAAAGTATAGATTTTCTATATTTGTTTCTGTACACTGATACAGAATTAATGGTCACAAGGAAAGGGTATTTTTGATTCATGTCGCGTAGATGTTGTAACTTTTCACGCATTAGTTTTAGGTCCTTTGTAAACCAGTTTTGTAACTGAGAACAATTTAGAAATGTTTAGGGAAAGTTTCCATTGTCACAAAATCAAATATAAAAATCCGATACAACTGAATACCGAACGATCCTGGAGTGAAACATTTTGACTCGGTAGTCTACGTAACTTAAAACAAGTTAAAAAGTAATCGTAAACGATTTACATAAAGCGCATTTCCACTTTGTAAGATGCAACTTCTGTTAAAATCGTAAAAATCCGGCCACAAATATGAAAGATAGCGTTGCACATGGGCAATCCATTGTTGACGTGCTACTTCAACTTCAGTTTATGAGAAGAATTTCATTTCAATGCTTTTGTAAATAAGAAAGTTAGAACTGCGCATGCGCAAACCTAAATTTTAAAACTAATGTTAGATTTTCCTTTGTTCCAAGCGCCTAAGTATCACATTTCACTTAAATAGTTCCATAGATAAAAAAGTTGGCACTGCGCATGCGCAAAATAAAATTTTGAAGCTGGCGTTTGATTTTCCTTTATCCCAAGTGCCTATGTATCAAATTTCGTTTAAATTCTTCCATAAATAAAAAACTTGGCACTGCGCATGCGCAAAACCAAATTTATTTTGAAATTGGCGTTTGATTTTCCTTTATCCCAAGTGCCTATGTATCAAATTTCGTTTAAATTCTTCCATAAATAAAAAACTTGGCACTGCGCATGCGCAAAACCAAATTTTGAAATTGGCCTTTGATTTTCCTTTATCCCAAGTGCCTATGTATCAAATTTCGTTTAAATTCTTCCATAAATAAAACAGTTGGCACTGCGCATGCGCAAAACCAAATTTTGAAATTGCGTTTGATTTTCCTTTATCCCAAGTGCCTATGTATCAAATTTCATTCAAATACTTTTATAAGTCAAAAAGTTTGGAATTCGGTTTACAAATGGTCGAGATGCGAAAAGGGCACTGTGAATTTTGAATCGATTCGATTCAACTTTTGGCATTGCGTATTATATGGCTAAAGCTATGCCCATATTGAATTTCATGCAATTCATTTCATAACTAACGGAGATGTAAAAGCGATCGAACATTTCTAAACAAAGTTATCGTTCACACGGACAGATAGATGGACAGACAGACAAAGGAACAGACGGAGAGACCAACCGGCAGGCGAGAGATAGCAATGCAAAATTATAAACGATCTCTAGGATCGTTAATAAACGGCAAAAGTGTAAAATTATGGAACATGTAAAAAACGGTGTTTTGTTTTTTTTACAATAACTTTTTTTGTAAGCGGCACAGACAAAATTCCTTCCTTGGTACAAGACTCGACACCATAACGAACCAAATAGCGAAAAAAGTAGAACAATAGCTCTTAAGATAAAAAACTAGTAGCATCGCAAAGTTAGCGGACGGACGGACGGACGGACGGACGGACGGACAAAGTGGCCACAATAGCGCATTTTTTTTTTATTTTTGTGGAAATGCGCTAAAAATAGGGCCCTTTCTTATATCCTTAAGACCATGTGTACTAATTTTCAAAGCGATCGCACGTTTCTAAACAAGTTATCATGCACACGGACAAACGGATGGTCAAAAATGGTTCCAAAATCGCTAGGATTAATTTCAGAAAGCCGTACGTATAATGTGCACGACGTGCGATCGCTTTGAAAACTGGTACACGTATTCTTAAGGATATAACTGGTATAAGAAAGGTCCTGGTAGGTACCTCCTATATAATAATATAATAATAATATTATGCTTTTACTCCCCTTAAATTGGTATATAACAATAGAAATATAAAAAAGCTAACCCCATACAAAGTATAACTTGATTTTTTAAGTAGTATTAAGCCTTTTATCTAGGTAGAATACCATTTTAAATTTTTAATGTATTTGAGTGACAACTATTTCAATACTTTTTACTGTATTCGAATACTTTTCAAAGTAAGTTAATGAAATACTTTTCAAAGTCTTCGAATACTATAAGTATCGAATACTATAAGTATTCGAATGCCTTTGATAGTATTAGAATACTTTTGAAAGTAGTCGAATACATTCTAAAGTATTTGAATACTTATTTTTTAAAGTATTTGAATACTTTTCAATGTATCTGTATCTAGTATTTGCTTGTGCTGGACGTAAAAGTATTTAGTATTCAAATACTTTTTGAAAGTATTCTGCCCAGCTCTGGATGTGAGTGTTTGGTTTGTGTGATTATTTATATCTATCGATTGCTGAAGTGTCGCAAATGTCTGTCAGTTGAGCTCTTCGAGACAGCTAGTTTTTTACAAGTCCTCCATGCTTTTCTTAACCTCCGGTTCCCACCTGTATTGAAATGTAGTTTTAGTTCTTTAAAACTCATCTCTTCCTGTCGATAAATTTATGCGAAATGGGTCACAGATTCTGAAATACTCGCAATTGCAAATTGGCAATCACTCTTTAGGTTACTAGTGGAAGCCGAGGAGAGTTCGAAACTTAATATTGTTCCGAGAAAATTGAACGACATTCATGCACTCAGAAAGCGCCTTCCATATGATCGTTTGACATAGTAATACAGATGCCATCTTACAACAAATTGGAATCGAAGTACAGCACGAAATTGTACTTATATCGAAGTTTACTTCGCAAACACTCAACTTGGTTATTATCAGTGTGCTCTTTGAATAATTGCGAAGCAAAATTACGTAAGTGAAAATGTTGTTTTGCAATAAACAAAAAGGGTAATTTAAAATTTAGATGATCAAAGCGAAAGAGAAAATAAAGACGAAAGCAGTTTGCGAGCGTTTTAGGTGAAAGCATAACAGAAAGAAAAACCTCATACAATTCGGAAAAAACGGAATATAAACAGTTACGGACTGACTTAATGTTTCTTTTCGTTTGCTTTTTTTTTAAACGAAAATGTATAAACGGGCAGGAAATTTACACAAACATTCGAGTTGCGCAAGATGAAAGCTCTTTATTTGATTGTTTACTATCGATATTTTGTTGCAATTTCATTTTGCGGTCCTCATAACATCTGTTACTGTGGACCGGCGGCATTGATCGGCGTTTCTTGGCACACGCGTTGCTTTGGCATTTCGCCCAAAATTTATAGGCCGTTGCGGTGTAGCACTCCGCTCCGGATTCCACACGATCGCTCTTTAACAAATTTTCCTTGTGATTGATGCTTGTCGCCTAAAATTTAATAGATTTCGCATTTTCGTGGTTGAAGCGTGCGCCCCCCTTTTTTTTCGCTCAGAATCGCGCAACAAGTGAATAAAATTCTCAAAGAGGCGACGACGGCGAAATGGAACATCTCAA